TTCTCGTATTGCTACTGAATGTCTTTGTTTAATGGCGTCTGTACGTTTTTAATGTGCATATGTAGGTATTTTTACGTACATTTGTAGGTATTTGTATGCGTACATGTTTTTTACACTTATCTGTGAGTATTTTATGAAGGTTTGTACTCATTTTATGTACGCACGTCTACAGGTTAAAGTATTTTACGCACACCGGTTAATATTTGCGTATATTTGTAGTTACTTTTCTGTGCATCTGTAGCTATTTACGCATATCCTTAGATATTTTTCGCATACCTAACGCATTTTACGCTTACCTTTACGCATTTCACGAACCTATGTTCGGAATTTACGCACGCGGATCCCCAAGTGGCGCACGAAATAGAAAATGCGCTAATTAATAGGTTACCATACGCACACGATAGCCAATTGTGTGTGTGTGTGTGTGTGTGTAGAGTTCGATTTTTTGTCACTGCGTAGTGTTCAGTTTTTTGTGTATCAATTTTTCATTGCTTTTCTCTACAGTTCAGCGTTCAGTGTTTTTGTGCAATTATTCATCGTTCAGTGTTTTTGTAAGTGTGTCATTGTTCAGTGTTTTTTTTTATTGTTAGGGTGGAAGTGTGTTTTCATTTTGTCAACACTGAGCCCTTGTACAGTGCTGACACGAGTACTGTGTGTTGTGGTGCGCGCGTGGCCTTTGTTTACATTTAGTAGTTAGCTGTGTGGCCGCTTGGGTGAGGATGGCGCTGTTGTTGATGTTGATCTTTCCAATGCGAGTGATGATGATGATGATAATGATGATGATGATGATGGTGATAATGAAGATGATGATGATGATAATGATGATGATGATGATGATGATGGTGATAATGATGATGATAATACAACAACAACAACAATAATAATAATAATAATAAAGGTATATTTTCCAGAATTTACTACACTGCTTCTCAGGTTACAGTGTGTAAGACAAAAGGCATATTTACAAGAGAATTACCAAACTTAGTGAAGTAGAAGACAATGAGATTAAGTTATTAGAGTAAAGGATTTAGAAGTAAGTACATGAATTATCACTAGATGTGTGTGTGTGTGTGTGTGTGTGTGTGTGTGTGTGCTAGGGTAGGTGAGGCTAGGCTCTGTAAGGTTAAGCTAGGTAAGGTAAGGTAAGGTAAGGGTAGATTGGGTAAGGTAGGGTAGGGTAAGGTAAGGTAAGGGCAGGTTAGGTAAGGTTAGGTTGGGATTATTTGGACTGGGGCTAGTTGTTGAAATTAGGGATATGACAACTGTGGAAGGAAGTCTGAAGGTAGGTAGGCAGGTAGGTAGGTAAGTAGGTAGGCAGGTAAGTAGGTAGGCAGGTAGGTAAGTAGGTAGGCAGGTAAGTAGGTAGGCAGGTAGGCAGGTAGGTAGGTAAGTAGGTAGGCAGGTAGGTAGGTAAATGAGGTGAGAAATTAGATAGATGAGGAAATAGATGGTTGACAAGAAAGAGTGGTGGCGGTAGTAGTGGTGGTGTTGGTAATGGTGGTGGTAGTGATGGTTATAGTGGTGGTGGTAATAGTAGGAGTAGTGGTTTTGGTGATGGGGGTAGTAGTGATGGTGGTAATGGTGGTGGTGGTAGTAATGGTGGTGGTAGTGATGGTTATAATGGTGGTGGTGGTGGTAGTGATGGTTATAGTGGTGGTGGTGGTAATAGTAGGAGTAGTGGTTTTGGTGATGGTGGTAGTAGTGATGGTGGTAATGGTGGTGGTGGTAGTGATGGTGGTAATGGCGGTGGGTGTTATTAAGGCAGGCCAGCCAGTAATTAGGTAAACAGGGGAGACAGAAACAACGTCTTGAACACTGGGAAGAATGTTGCGTGCAACTCCTCCCTCCCTCATCTCCTAACCCCTCTCCCTTCCTCCCCACCTTCCCTTCCTGTACCCCCTGTTCCTCCCCCTCCTTCCCCCTTTCCCCTCTTCCCCTGACCCTCCCCCTTCTTTCCCAATCACCCTCCTCTCCCCCACCTCCTCCTCTCCTTCCTCCTGGTCACCTAGACTCTGCCCTCACCCCACCCTGTTGCCTCCACTTGCCCTCTCCTACCCCCTCACCTTCTCGCCTGTTCCTCCTGCACCACCTGCCCCTCCCCTCCCTCCTGCAACACCTTAGTCCTCCTTCCCTTCCCTTCCCCCTCCCTCCTTACCACTCCTCACCTCCCCAATGCAACACCTGACGCAGCACCTACAGTAGTGGCGGTGGGGGAGAGGTGAAGTGAGAAAGAGATAGAATGAAGTGTATAATGCTTTTGGGAAGGAGAGGGAGGGAGGGTGAGAGTGAGAGGGAAAGTTGCGCCATAGGTAAATTAAGCTCAAAAAGGAAGTGCTGATAGTGGTGGTGGTAGTGGTGGTGGTGGTGGTGGTAGGTGGGTGGTTGTGGTTGATGAATAATGATGGTGATAGTGGTAGTGGTAGAGGTTCATGAAGTGATGGTGATGGTAGTAGTGGTTGGTGGTGAACAGTGATGGTGCTGATGTAAGAGAGACGATCACGCGTCTTGTTGTGTTACCTCAGCATAAGCTCTTCCCCCTCCCTCCCTCCCTCCTCCCTACCCAACCCCTACTTCCCTCCCTCACCCAACCCCTACTCTCCCTCCCTCACCTACCCTCTCTCCTCCCCCCCAACCCCTACTCTCCCTCCCTCACCCAACCCCTTTCTCCCTCCCTCACCCAACCCCCTACTCTCCTCCCCGCCCAACCCCTCTACTTCCTCCATCCCTCCTCACCCCTACTCTCCCTCCCTCACCCAACCCCTACTTCTCCTCTCAACCCTTCCTCCTCCTCCCCTTCCCTCACCCAACCCTTACTCTCCTCTTCTTCCCTCCCTTTCTCTCCTTCTCCTTTCCCTCCCTCTCCCTCCTACTCTCCCTACATGAGGAAAATCTTAATATGGTTGTGCAGGCATGGGTGTGGAGATGAATGGCGTGTATGAGGTGGGTGGGAGGTGGGTGGGGTGGGTGGGAGGTGGGTGGGTGGGTGGGTGGGTGGAGGTGTTTCTGTTCGGTCACGATTGTTAGCCGCAATGCAGGTGGGGGAGGAGGTGGAGGAAAGAGGGGAGGGGTGAGAGAGGAGGGAGGAGGTAGGAGAGGGGTGAGTGGTGGAGGAGGTGTGAGTGGTGGAGGAGGGGGAGGGTGGAGAGGGGTGAGTGATGGAGGAGGGAGGAGTGGTGGGAGAGGGGGGTGAGTGGTGCAGGGGGGGGTGGTGGAGGTGGTGGTGAGTGTAGGAGAGGGTGAGTGGTGGAAGAAGGGTGAGGGTGGAGGAGGTGTGAGGGGTGGAGGAGGGGTGAGTGGTGGAGGTGGTGGGTGGTGTAGGAGAGGGGTGAGTGGTGGAGGAAGGGTGAGTGGTGGTGGTAGCGTTGCGTCATCACTCTGTAACTCTCACCCTTAGTTCAATCTCACTGCCCACGTGCGTCCCCTCAGGTTCTCTCACCTCCTCTCACCTCTCCCTCTCATCTCTCCCTTTGTGATACATGGTGATAAGAGGTGATACATGATGATAACTAGTTATACCTGGTGATATATATATATATATATATATATATATATATATATATATATATATATATATATATATTTCATTACCAATAAAGCACGCGACTTCCATACATCAACACGCCACTCGCCAGGATTCGAACCCACCACACAGCCTATGACTGTAGCGTTCCAGTACAGTCACAAGCTAAATATTATATATATATATATATATATATATATATATATATATATATATATATATATATATATTTATATATAAAAAAAAAGAGAGAGAGAGAGAGACTGAACACGTTCTATCTTACACAAAAAAAGATATCATTTTCTGTCTCTGTAATTGTGTTGATAATTAAAATCGGGTCCTGTTTGAAAGTGAATATTGTTTTAACGCGATGAATGAAGTCTCTCTAACCGACCAGATGATATGGTAAATTTCTATTATTATTATTATTATTATTATTATTATTATTTTATTATTAATATTATTGTGTTATTTTATTGTTATTATTATTATTATTATTATTATTATTATTATTATTATTATTGTTATTTTTATTATTATTGTTGTTATCAGTTCATAGCACAGTGAAAAGTAGCTTAACATCTCTTAGTGTTTGATAGATTAGATATGAAAATGTTTAAAGAATATATAGATAAAGGTGAGATAAAGGTAATGTGAAATAAGTTGGGGAGGTGAAGGCGATGGGGTGTAATGGCCGGCTGTCTGTCTTACACTATTCTCCCGTATAATTGTCCCTCACATAGAGCTGAGGAGGAGGAGGTAGAGGTGATGGTGAGAGAGAAAAAAACTTTACCTAAGCTATTAATGATAAAATGAGGAAGAGAACTTACATATATACTGAACTAAAAGGTGTAATGAGGTGTTGATGACTCGTAATGCAAGAACACTTTAGCCTATAGCCATAGCCTACAATATATTGTAATGGAATATAATGCCCATTGAAAAAAATTATATATATTAATGTAAGTGAGTATTTCCTATTTTTCATATATTTATACATGTATTGGGAAATAGTCTTGTCATTTGTTAGAGTTTTGTTATAGGTTTAGAAGATATAGATAGTTATTGAAGGTATAGTTGGGTTTACCTGTATTTGATCTGATGAGGTAATTAGGGAGGAGTTTACCTGTAGGAGATTATGGGCCTCTTTTGGGTATTTAGGACCATGGGCCATTAGTGTTAAAGGCCATGGGCCGTTATATTGAGGACCATGGGTCATTAGATTTAGGACCCTGGGTCCATAGACCATTAGTTTTTAGGACCATTATTGATACCATGGACCATTAGTTTTTTAGGATCATGAGAGATAAGTGTTTCTAGGACAATGGACCATTATTACTACCATGGGCCATTATTCTCCATGAACCATTTTAGACCATGGACCATAAAAATCAATATATATTTATGACCTTGTCCACTGTGTTGGTTCCTCGGGTGCGTGACTGAGCCCACTAATTCCTGACCCCTGATGCTTCTTCAGGTATCAGAGCACCTCCGCCACCCTCGTCAAATGCCAGGGATTTCAGGGCTAAGGACCGAAGCAAACGAGCCCTGGGGAGGTCAGTGTCTTTCAAAGAGTCAGTTGTAGGGTTGTAGGTGGGGGGATGGTGGTGGTGGTTAGTATGGGGATTTGTTTTAACGAAGGTGTTGTGGTGCGCAGGTTGTAGTTGTGGTAGTTGTTGTGATCTCCTCCCCTCCCTTTGTAGGTGTTGTAGTTGTGGTGTGAGTGTAGTGGTGTATGATCCCCCCTTTTGTTGTAGTTTGTGGTGGTGTGTAGGTTGTAGTGGTGGTAGTTGTTGTGACCCCTCTCCCTCCTTGTAGGTGTTGTAGATGGTGAAAAGTGTATAGTAGGTGTCGGCTCCAAGGTGTTGTAGATGGTGGTAGTTGTTGTTGTTGTTCCTCCCATGTAGATGATGTATGTTGTAGGGGAGTAAATAAGTTGTAGATGGAATGAAGACATTGTGACCTACCTCCTCCTCGTCCTCCTCCTCCTCCTCCTACCTCCTTCCCTCCCTACCTCCTCACCCTCCTTCGTTTCCCTCCTCTTCCTCCATCCCTCCTCCCTCTTTCCCTCCTCCTCCTCACAATTGTCACAGGAGATTGATTAGTTCAGCAGGACTCAATAGAAGGCAATGCTGAAGTGTGTCTTGTGTTGGAGGCCCTCACGGTGTAGGTGTGAGAGGGAAGATGGATTAAGGGGTTCATTTGTGGATTTAGGGGTTCGGTAAGGGTTTCATTTCAAGGGTTCGTTTTAGGGTTCAATCTCAGGGGTTCGTTTCAGTGGTTTCATCACAAAAACCGAGGATTGTATCATTATTTTTGTTGTGATATTTTTCGCTATTTTCCTGAACGATTGTGTGTGTGTGTGTGTGTGTGTGTGTGTGTGTGTGTGTGTGTGTGTGTGTGTGTGTGTGTGTGTGTGTGTGTGCGTGCGTGCGTGCGTGCGTGCGTGCGTGTGTGTGTGCGTGACTCCCTTCACCACCAACACGTGTTAGTGGACAATAATAAACCGACTCCCAACTAAAGCTGTTGAAATATTGACGGAAACAGATGAAAATTTAACTACGTCAGGATATATTAACACAATCTATGAAATGTTAACTAAAGCGAAAAACATATTAAAGAAAATAATAAGATGCAGGTGTATAGACAATGCAGGTATATAGACTGCAGGTATACAGTTCAGCATGTATGTAGACAATGCAGGTATACTGTATAGTCTATGTGGGTGTACAGTTAAAATTGATAGAGATCGTTAATTGTGTTGAATAAATCGGTAAATGTACCAAAGTTGATCGCTAAATTGACGTACAGTGTCGATCGGTAAATGGACAATGTTAACCCAAGTGTGTTAGTAAAATTGTTAACTTCGATGTCCGGATATAAACGGGGATTTACTTCGAACTGTTTGGGCGATTACTTTGGATTTCTCGACGGATCTGTTGGCTCTTATCCGGATTTTACTGGGAGGTTTACCCGGGGTTTACCTAGGGTTTACTTAGTGGTTTCCTGGGGGCTTACCTGTAGTCAACCAGATGATTTAAGTGGGATTTACCTGGGGTTTACCTTGGGATTTACCTGGGGTTACCTTGGGATTTACCTGGGAATTTACCTATGGGTTTACTTGAATATTTACCTGTATGTTTGTAGTCTAAAGGTAATGTGTAGGCTATATATTTACAAATTGATACAAATAATGTGTATTTTTGGTAATATAACAATGGTGTATTTGGATGCATATATACATACACAAACAGCAAATACAAATTTACCTGGAAATTTCATATAAATATAACAATAAAGTGAATAGATTAATGTCTATATATAATTGAGAGAGAGAGAGAGAGAGAAGAGAGAATGAGAATTAAGATGATCAATCAGTCAAGTAGGGAGGCATCACACAACACACACACACACACACACACACACACACACACATGTATCCTTGATAGAAGTGTGTGGGGGGGTAGAGGGTGAGTTGAGGAAGAGGGGGGTGTGGTGGGAAGGGAATGAGAAGTAGTGGAGGAGGAGGAGGAGGAGGAAGGGAAGACGATGAGAGGTGGGGAGGGGGAGGTGGGGAAGGGGCAGGGGAGTTAGTGTAATGGGGTGGGGGTGTATATATTATGTAGAGGGGGGTAAAGGTATGTTGTGGTGGAGGGAGGAGGGGGGGGTGAGAAGGAAGGGGAGGGTATAATGCGTGTGGAAGCATAGTGGAGGAAGAAGGAGGAGGAGTGTAGATGGAGGGAAGGATCAGGAGGGACTCACTCACTCCATCAACACACACACACAACACACACACACACACACACACACACACACACACACACATAAATAAGGACAAGGGGCGCCATTAGCTGGATTGCCGTAGTTACCTGCACGCGAACTGGCCGCTCAGGTGGGCAGGAGAAGGGGTGAGGGGGCGGGAGGGAAAGGGTGTGAGGGGGAGGAGGGGAGAATGAGACGCTTAGTGGGGGTGTGGTAGGTAGATGAGGGAGGGAGGGGCGCTGCATGTATATTTGGGGTCACATACACTTGGGGCCTAGTATCCCTGACAGGTGTGTGTGTGTGTGTGTGTGTGTGTGTGTGTGTGTGTGTGTGTGTGTGTGTGTGTGTGTGTGTGTGTGGAGAGAGAGACGATCACAGATACTGTAGACCAAAGATGTTTATTTCCCGTGATCTGGCCAGCTGTTCCAGTCTGTTGGCCGCATCTGCTAGTAAATAGTATCGTGATTGTTATTTATATATTCAATAACGTTATGTATTACAGTAATGCTATTTCTTTATGTATTGTGACATCTGTAATTGCATATTACAATTGCTGTATTTTGCGCAGTATTTTGTTTATACTTGTAAATGTATTTTTTAAAGTATAACAAAATGTGTATTTATGTATTACCGTTAGTTTCTGTAATACAATACCTGTATTTTATATAATTCAATAACTATTAATAACAGCAACTGCTTTACACAATCCAACAACTAATTTATTCATACAATGATTATTTTATACAATACATCAATAGTGTTTTACGGTCAATAACTCCTGTATCACCATAAAGTTATATTTTTATTATTAGTGTTGGTATAAAGGTAACACACACACACACACACCCACACACACACACACACACCCACACACACACACACACACACACACCCACACACACACACACACACACACACACACACACACACACACACACACACACACACACAGGATAATTGTCAATATCACACACACATTACGACATATAGTGCTCAGTGCGTTATGACCAAACTGTGTTGCTCTGACCTAAACGAAAACAAAAACAAGAATACAAAATAATAATACAAATTCTTCGGTTTGATAGATATTGCTTAGTGGACGGAAGAAACATGGGTGGGGGAGGCCGAGGAGGGGGTCATGGTGAGGGGAGATGGATGTAAATGGGTTGGTGAGAGGTGGTAAGGTAAGGAGTAGAGGGGTGAAGGTCCATCCTGAATAAACCATTATATTGATCCAGTATTGAAGGTATCATTGGTTCGTTAATTGCTATGGGGGAGTGTATGTATTTATGTATGTCTGTTTTTACACACACACACACACACGACGTTTAGGTACATATGGATGTTAAGTGTGAGTGGTTGGTATAGTGGTATGAGTCGTGTGTGTGTGAGAGAGAGAGAGAAGGAGAAAGGAGAGGGGTATGTGCTCAAGTGACTGCCTAATCAAAAAGCCTCTGCTAATAAAGTTCTGGGTGGTACTCCTCCCTCAATCCCCCCTCCCTCCCCTTCCTCCCTCCCTCCTCAATCCCCCCTTCCTCCCTCTCTCCCTCCTTTTCCCTCTTCCTCCCTCCTCCTCAGCTGGGCTCGTGACTGTTCGTGTCTGATGATTGTGTGGGAAAGTGTGGTGGAGGGAGGGGGTGGAAGGTGGAATGGGTGCGGTGTGGGGGGGTAGGATGGATTGGTGTGTGTGTGTGTGTGTTGGGATGGTGTGCATGGGGGTTATAAAATGTAGTGATGTATGACGGAATATGTAGCGCGCGCGTAAAATGTGTTTGTGTAGCACGTGCATACAGTATGCAGAATTTGCATGTTTTGGGGATATCTAAAATATGTGCGCTTTCATGTTTGCGTGTGTGTTTGTGGACGTATATTGCGTGTGTATATATATATATATATATATATATATATATATATATATATATATATATATATATATATATATATATATATATATATATATATATATATATATATGCGTGTAATTGTGCTGGTAGTGACGATGCGTTCAAGAGACAGAGAAAGAGACACGGATATACTCAGCTCTCAGTGGTACGTGTGCGTGCCTGCGTGCTTGCTTGCGTGTCGAGCTGGGGGAAGCATAAGATTGCACGCGCGTGCTTGAATACGACTAAACCCTGTCATTGCTTGTATGTGTGCCGGCCATCAAAAGCTGGCCATTTTTCACCCCGTGATGAGTAAGGAAGCCAGCAACTTTATTACCTCAATCCGTCTTTATTAGTTAGTGCTCAGGCAGCTGGTGTCGTCCCCAAACAGTGTTGCTAGCTGTCATGTCGTGCCCCAGCTAAAGTGTTGCTACCTTGGTCATGTCGTGCCCCAGTTAAAGTGTTGCTAGCTTGGTCATGTCGTGCCCCAGCTAAAGTGTTGCTAGCTTGGTCATGTCGTGCCCCAGCTAAAGTTTGTTAGCTTGGTCATGTGGTGCCCCAGCTAAAGTGTTGCTAGCTTGGTCATGGTGCCCAACTAAAGTGTTTCTAGCTTGGTCATGTAGTGCCCCAGCTAAAGTGTTGCTAGCTTGGTCATGTCGCCCAGCTAAAGTGTTGCTAGCTTGGTCATGTCGCCCCAGCTAAAGTGTTGCTAGCTTGGTCATGTCGTGCCCCAGCTAAAAGTGTTGCTAGCTTGGTCATGTCGTGTCAGCTAAAGTGTTGCTAGCTTGGTCATGTCGTGCTCCAGCCAAAGCGTTGCTAGCTTGGTCATGTCGTGCTCCAGCTAAAGTGTTGCTAGCTGGTCATGTCGTGCTCCAGCTAAAGTGTTGCTAGCTTGGTCATGTCGTGCTCCA